GGTCCCTGCCCATGGCAGGAGGTGGAATGGGATGAGGTTTCAGGTCCTTCCAACCCAAACCAGTCTGGGATTCTGCTGGAGGTGTGTGCACCTGTGTGTATTCCCATGAAATCAACTGAGATTCAGGTAAAGATTTGATGCCTCTGTAGCTGTTACATACTCGCTTTCAGAGGAAAGGATTCAAGTCTGCCCTGAACAGGCACCCAAGGAATCTCTCACAAGGATGGGTCACTCCTGAAATCTCTCCAATGAATTAAGACATCACACAAGAATCATAGAATCATAGTGTGTTAAGGGGCTGGAATGGACTTTAGAGATCATCCAGCCCCAACCCCCTGCCCTGGCAGGGACACCTCCCACCAGAGCAGGTTGCTCAAGGCTTTATCCAGCCTGGCTTTGAACACTGCCAGGGTTGGGGCAGCCACAGCCTCCCTGGGCAACCTGTGTCAGTGTCTCACCACCCTCACAGCAAAAACTTCTTCCTAATATCTAAGCTAAATTTCCCCCCATTCCTCCTTATCCTGTCACTACCTGTGATCACCACAGCAACAGAAAGATTGTGCCCAGAGAGAAGCAATGTTCATGTTGTCTCCATGAATGGACAAAACAATACCCTGAACATTGGTTTAGTATCTTCCAGCAGCACAGACACAGCTGGGGCAGAGGAAGGGAAGGCAATCAGGGGCTCAGGTTAGGGCTGACTCCTTTGTGTCATGGCTCCCCAGGTTATTCTTTTGCCAGGAGCTCACACTAAGCTCTACAAATTCTGAATCACAGGATCCCAGAATGGTTTGGGTTGAAAGGACCTTAAAGCTCATCTCATTCATGCCCTGCCATGGGCAGGGACACCTTCCTCTAGCCCAGGTTGCTTCAAGTCCTGTCCAACCTGGCCTGGAACACTCCCAGGGATGGAGCAGCCACAGCTGCTCTGGGCAACCTGTAAATTGGGATTCCAGTAAGGAGACAAACTTTGCAGTACAGCATGTTGTTAAACAGCCCAAAGTGCTGGAACACAGCACAGGGAAGTGCAGGACACAGCCTGCTCTGGTCAGGTAACTCAGGGACTGGGAAGAAAATCCAAACCCAAAGTGAAGAAATTGATTCCAGCAAACAAACTCTCTGCTCTCCAGTACCAGAAGCAAATCTCCCAGCAAGATGTGAGGACCCAGGGTGGCACAGTGCTCTGCCTCAGGCTTTGGATTAAAAAAGTATCTGATTTGAGAGCATTTTGAAAGTGAAATAATGACTAAGAGCAATGTCATGGAATCGCCTCTTTCATCCTTACCAATGGAAGTTCCCTGTTTTGAAGTGATAAAAATGGCACATGCTAAACACACATGATAAAATAGCATTTCTATTAAAAATCATATGCACTAAAAAAGTGTGACCAAATCTGGATTCTTTTCTCCTGCCGAGTTCTGCACTGACTGGGAAACTGCAGAAGGCCTTTATATAGTGCTGCTATATAGAGAAGGAGGGGGCTGGAGCCCTAAAAATGGGTGAGAACTCACCCCAGAAATCCTTCTTGTTGTTCTCTTTCTTTTCTGAGTATTGCAGCTACCTGCAGGATCCTGGGGCAGGGAGAGGGGAGGGAACCCAACACACAACCCTGAGAGTATTGATCAGCACCTCATTCAGGAGCAGCTGATTAATTTTTAGGCAGTTCTGTGAATGCTGAGCTGCTATGTGAGGGTGGCAGCAGCAGTGTTGTGAGCAGAGCTGGAGCTCCAACCACCTACACTGTCAGCTCCTCAAAATACTTTCCTGGGGTCTATCAGCAATGCTCTCATTGTGTCTGTGGCTGTAACTGATACTTACAGGTTTTAATTGCTTTTCAAAGCAGGTTGGAATCACCCAAATGAGATAATTGAGTAGAGCAGATGAAACAGAAAAAAAATCAATCCAAAACCAAGTTTCTGGCTTGACTTTGAGCAAGACATATTTCTGCTTTCCTTTTTTATGCCAGTTTTTGGCTTATAACTCCTTCCAATATCTCCACTGCACTCTGAAATGGCAATTTAATACAGCTTTGAAATCACACTTTTTTTTCAGGCCAGAATTCCCTGAAATGTATCATTTCCTCTCTCTCAGTCCAAAGCCTCCCTATTGTAGGAAAGGCAGAGATGGGAACAGATCTCTCTCTCAGCACTAACAGCATATTTCCTTGGGTTTGTGTTTGGGTACTCACTTGGGTGATCACTCATTAGCAGCAGAGCAGTTTGCTGCCAGCTAACAGAGGCAACTGCAGGAGAATAACAATGCCAGAGATGAACTATATATTCCTCACCAGTCACACAACAATCTGTGCCAGCACACTCAGCCCTCCCTGCTGCACTCAGCCACCTAGCTCCACTTCTAGCTATCAAAGACATTGCTGCAATTAAAGATTGCAAAGGATGAACACAAAAATAAATAGCTGGGCCTCAGCTTCCTGCAGTTGTTGGCAACATATGTCCTGGAGAGCACCTGTGTGTGAAAGGGAATTGTAGAGGTGGCAAATGAGCTGCAGAAACTCACCACAGTCTGTTTCTTCTGCAGCATCTCTAAATGCTCCACGAGGCCCTCGTCAGCCACGTCGAAGGGTGTCTGGCCCTGGGCAGTGAGAGAACACAGGAGGATGTGATATGGCATGGTGGTAACATTCCCAAAAGCACTACCTACCAGGAACATGCTCCATGTCCATCCCCGCATGGTGAGGGACTGTTTCACTCCAGCACAGGGAAAACCACATGACAGTGATGGTGGTTCAGGACTCAAACCATGCTCAGATCAGCCTTACCCATGGCAGTGCAGCTCCCAGGCTGCTGCCCAAACCTAACAGCCAGGACTAACATGGTGGAGTTTCCAGGTTTCTGAAAAGGACACTCTTGGACTGAGAAGGAATGTGATCAGCTTGTTCTTAGGCTGGATATTAGGCAAAGGTTGTTCCCCCAGAGGTGTTTGGGCACTAGAACAGCTCCCCAGAGCAGTGGTCATGGCCCCAAGGCTGAGAGAGTTCCAGGAATGTTTGGCCAATGCTCTCAGGCACAGGGTGGAGTATTGGAGTGTCCTGTGCAGGACCTGGAGTTGGACTGGTGATTCCTTCCAGCTCAGGACATTTTGTGATCCTATGAACCCCTCCAGCCTCATTGGGTTGAGCAACCTGCACTGGTTTCACCTCTCACCCAAACCACTGGCCTAATGAAGGGCTGCTGAGGGAATGGTGTGGCTGAATTGAGCCTCCTGTAGCCCCAAAAGACAGAGCCAGGAGAACCTGCAGCACAGCTGAGCACCTGAGGAAAGGACCCTGTTGGCTGGACAGGGGTTGGACTTTGCTGACCAGCTCAGGAGATTTTTGATTCTGTGTTACTGTATCATCACACATTTAAACCTCCTGAAAGGCTGTCAGCCAAGATCATTTGTGAGACACTTCCACAACCATGAGCACTTACAAACTAAAACAAACCTGAAAAATTTCTTTGGGGCACAAACCAAAAATCAGTTACACTTGCACCATAACTAAAGCTGTAACAACCACTTCACTAACACACAATGAAACCTGATAGCCAGGGATCAAATTGATGCAGGTGGTCTTGGGCATATGACCCAGCAAAGTGCCAATCCTTGGCTGGAAGGAGCAGGTAATGCAGCAAATACAACTGTGTCTGTTTCTGTTTAGGTCTGGTGCAACACAAACCCCCCCCCCACACACCTTGGTTGCTTTGGAAAAGCACCTGATGGCACTTAAAACAGGAGAGACTCCCACATTTTGGGTGCCAAAGAGTTCCCAGGCTCAAATGGCTCCTCACAAGAGGCATTTCTGTTCACCAGTTCCCAGCACAGGCAGGTGCCCTGGAATACACAGGGACACACTGCTCTTACCACATCCTCCTGCCTGTACCCCCAGGGCTGACCCAGGCACTTCCAACCTCCTCTGCTCCCCCAGACACTGCCACAGCACACTTGGACCTGCTCCAGTGGGAAGCAGCTCACAGCCCAGTGTGAACATCCCAGCAGGGAGGGGAACACCAAGAACAACTTCTAAGAGCTCCTCAAAGGAAAACTTGTATTAGGATGGAAGAGGAATGGTTTTTCTCCCATCCTATTTTTCTTCACTCATTTCTCCCAAATCTGAATCAATTTTTCAATTTCCCTTTTTATGACCAATAGATACAACAGAGAGGATTTAAAGCTGCTTCACTTGTGTTCAGTGCCTTATACCTTAATATCAGTATATTATTTTGCACTCCAAGAGTGTTTTTTGTTGCTGTTTTATTTGACAGGGTTACATTAAATCAGGAGAGCTCAGATCAGCCTCTGTCCCTTCTCACACTCTCAGTCCTAAAGTTTAATCACAGATCTTTTACCATAAGATTTGAAACCTTTTCTGCCTTCCTGCATCAAGATTCTTTACTTGCTGATGCTTTTAAATGTTTCAGGGCACAGGCCAGAAGAGCTGCTCACTGTGAGTAATTCTGTCATGGTGTTGGACCATGGTGTGAAACCCCACTCATGTCCAGCTCTGGGGGCCCCAACATAAGATAGATGTGGAGCTGTTGGAAGAAGTCCAGAAGGGGCCACTAAATTGACCACAGGGATGGAGCCCTTCTGCCCTGGAGCCAGGCTGGGAGAGCTAGGGTGTCCAGCCTGGAGAAGAGAAGCTCCAGGGAGACCTCAGAGCCCCTTCCAATGCCTCAAGGGGCTCCAAGAGAGTTGCAGAGGGACTTGGGACAAGGGATGGAGGGACAGGACACAGGGAATGACTTCCCACTGACAGAGATGGGATATTGGGAAGGAATTGTTCCCTGTGAGGGTGCTGAGGCACTGGCACAGATTGCCCAGACCAGCTGTGGCTGCTCCATCCCTGGGAGCGTTCCAGGCCAGGTTAGATGGGGTTTGGAGCAACCTGGGCTGGTGAAGGTGTCCCTGGCCATGGCAGGGGGTGGGATGGGATGAGCTTTAAGGTTCTTTCATCCCAAACCAGCCTGTGACTCTATGACTCTATGATCAAGCACTAGGCAATAAAACTGATATTAATCTGGCTATAAAACACATTGCCCAAGTTGCTGTGTACTGACCAGCTTGTTCCTGATGTCCATGTCACACAGAGCCTCAGCCAGGATGGAACATGCCTCCTTCACTCCCCAGTGTGCAGCAGCATGGAGTGGAGTCCAACCATCATTGTCCTGCACGTTCAGATTGAAGCCAGCCTGGATCAGGAGCCTGAGGAAAGAGACAATATTGATCTCTGCTCAGCCAAGAATGCCTCCTTGACAGAGCAGAGCTCACCCTGGGAGCACAGAGCAGGCAGCCTGGCTCACAAGCAGCCTGGAGCCTCTTCACTTGTTTAGTCACCCAAGCAACATCCCATTTATGTGCTCCAAACTGGAAGGAAAAAGGGCAGGAAATGAAAAGTGACTTTGGTGTAAAACCTGCTGGAACTTGTCGAGTTGGTAATGTTCCTTTTCAGCATGTCCTGAGCTGGGAGAACATCTTACCTTCTCAGCTGGCACTGGTGACCCAGTCTGAACTCCGGCTCCAGTGGGGGAGTGAGCTGCACTGGCTCAGGCACTGAGCACCCAACAGCATCTGTGCAACTGCCCTCCCTGTCCCCGGAGCCAAGCACAGCCAGGAGAGGGACACTGGGAACTGGAGTTCAGGCTTGGTTCTACCAGAGCACCAGGCCAAGTATGAGATGGTCCATGAGGAGAACATCAGGACTGCCAGGGAAGCACCAGTGACTTCACTGTGATTGCCAGATGTGAGATTTGTCCATTCAATACCCACATTTGTGTTGAACATCCCAAAATGCATTTTTTCAGACTAGTCCTTGCAGAATTGAAGAAAGTCTTCCGCAAGAGAAGCTGCCTGGGAACTCCCTGGCCTTACCCTGACTGCTGGGCCCCTTCCACCCCTCCCTTCTGGTGTCTCACAGTATCTGGAGCTTCAGTATTGAGCACCAAAGCAAACACAAGAGGGTCAAGTGCAGTCTGAGGCTGCAGAGCCATGAGCACACCAGTGCAGCAGTGACCAGAGAAGAGCACTGAGCATTTCACATATCAAAACTATTATTAAGGTTGTTTGAACACTGGAGAACATCCCAGGGGAATTCTGCAACTCTGGTAAAGCTGATACTGAATATTTCCATTGTGGGATATTCCACCCTCCAGAGCCACTCTTGCACAGCAGGAGGGAAATCCAACATGACCCCAGAATGGCACCAACAGCTTGGAAGCTCCTGCAGCTTTACACCAATGTGCCACTGTGCTAAATAAAACACAGTGAGAGCACAGCAGCTGTGAGCTGCTCTGTGAAAGAAACTTTAAATTAGGTGCTGACTTTGTGTTGATTTTCCAGCTGGCAAAAGGCAGGGACAGAGCTGCTGAGAGACTCAAGGTCACAGACAAACTCCACGTCTGGTTTGGGAGTTAGCTGCTCCTGGCTGGCAGCCCTTGGGTTTAAGTCACTGAGGCTTTGTATTTGAGCTTCCAGGGCAGCCAAACCATACACAAGAGTGACCCCATGTCAGCTTGTGTGAGATCTGTTTAGCATTACCACAATTAATGCCCAAGAGTTGCTGTCCAGGACTAAGTCACCCTGCAAATGGTGAACTTCAGGAGCACTGGATACACAACCCTCCACCAACAGCCCATGGGACCAACACCTCCAATTCAGGAGATATTACATTTCCAGTCACAGGAGCTGTGTCAGATTCCTGTTCTTGGGCACAGTGCAGGCACAGACAGCTCATAACTCAATTATAAGCTCTAATGACTGAACACAAATTGGAAACAGGGAGAACAATAACGCTGCTGGAGCTTGGTGACAAACAGCTCTGACACAACAAGGCATGGCTCTGAAATTAGGGAAGGATCAAGAGAGATGAACACTTCCAGAACAGACTTTAATGTGGGCAATAGAGTCACCTTGGAGAGACTATTTTACAAGAGTATGTGGTGCCAGGCCGAGGAGGAACAGCTTCACCCTGACAGACAGCAGGGTTAGATGAGATGTTAGGAAGAAGCTCTTCCCTGTGAGGGTGCTGAGGCACTGGCACAGGTTGCCCAGAGCAGCTGTGGCTGCTCCATCCCTATTGTAAATGTTTCAAGCCAGGTTAGAGCAACCTGGGCTAGTGGAAGTTGTCCCTGCCCATGGCAGGGGTGGAACAAGATGGGCTTTAAGGTCCCTTCCCACCCAAACCAGTCTGGGATTCTATGACCTCTATGTTTATGGGCAGCTCCACCCACACATAGAGCAGAGGAGAAAGCTTTATTGTTGGAAACCTTCATTTGACCTTCCCTGTAAAAATATTGCTGCTTTATTGCCAGCAAACCCTACACTGGGCAAGTTGATGCTCACAATAACCTTGTCAGTGCCGGAGCAGCACAACTGTTAGGTGGTGGAATCCCTCTGCCACTGCTGGAGCAGCAGCACTGAGGGGCAGAGGACCACGAGACAGGGGTGGACACTGCCTGTAGCCACTAGACTGGTCATGTAAGTTGTTGGGGTATTTGTGACTGTCACACAGTGTGCGATGTCACTTTCTAGGCCAATTTATACTTTTATCCCCTAACACTGTTTAACTTGCCAGTCCTAAAACTATTACTCCACTAGTGGCAATGACACCTAATTTCTGCCTCACTCCTTGAAAAGCTTTCAAGACTTCAAGGGCCTGCAGGTAGGAGAGGGAATCCTCCAACTCCTGTGTAGGTCTGGGTGACCCACTGTGCTTGGGCACACAGAACCACAGAGCCTTTGGAGAAACAGCAGTCAGTATGGAACAAATTCCTCTGAACTGTAAAGCCAGATGTGCTCTTTACAAAACCAGTCTGGATGCAGCCCATCAGCCTGGGGAGGAGCTCCTACCTCATGACTTCAGAGTAGCCCTTGGCTGCAGCAACGTGCAGAGCTGTGGCTCCTGTCCGGGGCTGCTTCACATCCTCAATCCTCCCACTATTGAGCCACTGCCGAGCGTCCTGCAGCATCTGCTGCTCCTCCTCCTTCCTGGACAGCTCTAGGTCGACCCCTGGGAGGGTGAAGCACAGAAGAAGAGAAGAACAAGTGAAAACTCTCATGCACTTGTTAAATTTCTGTTTCATTTGCTGCACAATATTAGTAAACTATTTGTAATCTTCCACAAAACAATCAGCAAAAGCAACTTCTGTGAGCTGGGAGAGCTCCTATGTCATCAAGAGACTCCAACACTGTCAGACTTAAAAATCTGGAAGTTGGGCCAGGGGTTGCAACCAGCCCAACTCACTTCAAGCTCAGCTGTGCACTAAGGGTGGGAGGACTGAATTCTGCACATGCTGTTGCTCAGACTGAACAACACAGCCATGAACAACAGCTTAACCAAGGAAACTGAACTCTAGTGAGAGCAGAGTCTACAGTGAAGGTCTGAAGAGTTGACCCTCAGACATCTCTGCAAGAGCAGTGTGACCCCAGCTCTGTGCTCACCCAAAATCCAGGGCAATCTGCAAGTCACACACACAGGGACCTGCTCTGTTGGAAGATCAGATCCAACATTCAGTCTTGGTGTCCTGTGAGGCTTCAACCATGTTATCACCAGGTTTGGGACCATCTAAGGAACATGACAGTGCACAAGTCCATGGGATCTGATGAGATGCATCCACAGATCCTGAGGGAACCAGCAGAGGAAGTGCTTAAGCCACTCTCCATCACATTTGAGAAGCTGTGGCAGTCAGGTGAAGCTCCCACTGTCTGGACAGCAATCCCAGACCCAGGACCCCTGAGAAGGATGCAGAACCCAGGATCTGCACTGCTCCAGAGCCATTCCTGCCCAGGGACACACACAGGGATCTGCACTGCTCCAGAGCCATTCCTGCCCAGGGACACACACAGGGATCTGCCATTTCTGCCATGCATACCAGGAGAAGTAGTGAGCTATTCCTCCGATCAGCAAACACACAGATACTTTGAAAACACAATTCCAAATTTTTGGTATGAGAATTATAGAGCAGAATAACCCAAGGATGCAGCTCATCAGCTCCCATGGACTTGTGCATGTTCAGGCTCCTTAGATGCTCTTAAACCTGGTGATAACACGGTTGAAGCCTCACAGGACATCGAGGCAGTGACTGTTCCTCAGCTGCAGGTGTTTTGCCTAACACTGTTTGGGATTCTCCTTGCATTGCTTCACCACATTAGCAGCATCCTGGTGAGATGCTCTGGAACAACCATCTGTCTCCACCAAGAAACTTCTCATGGACACAGATTAAAAGCTCATAAGTGCTGGAGGAAATGGGGTTGAACTGTAAATAAGGCTCTGTCCAGCTCCAGAGTCTGTCCTCAGTGTGGCTGTAGGCAGATGCTTCTGCAAACTGTAACAACAGCTCAGGTGTGCATGATTCCCTTCCCAGACATTTCCCCAGCCTCCAGGAGTTCCTGAGCAACATGGGCTTGCTGTGGACTCGGGAATCCTTCATGGCTTTCTGTCTCATGAGCTACTGCAGCCTTCCTTGGGAGCTCCCAGCAGGTACAGCATTACTTGCAATAACTACAGACCTCTCTAGACCTTGTTCTGGAGCCAGTTCTGCTTCTGATGTCTGCAACATCCTGCAGCAGTCGTCTCACAGTTCTGACCCTGAGCTAAGCCTTTTTTTGCTTCTGCTGTAAACATAATGCTTCTGTTTTAAAGCCCAGAGTTCAACTGGGAGCCACGTCATGCTCATACTGAAAGAGTTAATCCATAGGGACAGTTGCTATTCAACACCCTTCTTGATTGTTGGGATTTGTCATCTTTCATCTTTTGGTGACAAACTCCCCATGAGCTCAGTGTGAGCTCACAGCTCAGAAACCAACCCAGGCCTGGGCTGCAACCACAGGAGTGTGGCAGCAGGGGAGGGAGGGGATTCTGCCCCTCTGCTCTGCTCTGCTGAGGCCCCACCTGGAGTGCTGCACACAGATCTGTGTCCCCAACAGCACAAGGACATGGAGCTGTTGGAGCAAGTGCAGAGGAGGCCACGGAGCTGATGAGAGCACTGGAGCACCTTCCCTATGAGGACAGGCTAAGAGAGTTGGGGCTGTTCAGCCTGGAGAAGAGAAGGTTGTGTGGAAACCTTAGAGCAACCTGCCAGGAGCTGAAGGGGCTCCAGGGAAGCTGCAGAGGACTCTTGGTTAGGAGCTGCAGGGACAGGACAAGGAGGAATGGGGAGAAATTGAAATAGGGAAATTGAGATTAGATCTTAGGAAGAAATTTTTCCTGTTGGGGTGGTGAGACACTGGCACAGGTTGCTCAGGGAGGCTGTGGCTGCCCCAGCCCTGGCAATGTTCAAAGCCAGGCTGGCTGAAACCTTGAGCAACCTGCTCTGGTGGGAGGTGACCCTGCCCAGGGCAGGGGGTGTAATGAAATTATCTTCAAGGTCTCTTCCAGTCCAAACCATGCCATGATCCTATGTACAGCTCTCAATACCCACTTTGAAGAGAGACAAGTTACACTGATTTATTTACATAAAGGATCTCTCTGTCTTTCTGGATATTCAAGGAAGTCTGACTGCAGAGAGGAGAGTGGCAATGGCTTGGACAGCCCAGTGCAACAGAGGCTGACTCTAGACACAGTTCTGCTCTTTAAATCCCTGAGCACACTAAACACAAAGAGAAAGGCTGTTTCAGCTTATTTCCCAGTGGAGGGTAAAGGGGAAGAAAATAAGAACAACCTTGTCACAAATACCCCTAAACTAAAAAGTGAGAAGGAACATGATCCTGCAGAGATTTTCCAAGAGGAACAGTAAGAAAAGTAACAACCAGCTCTCAGATGGACAGCTACAAACTCACCCAGGGACTAGTAACATGGGTGGCAAAGGAACAAGGGACTGACCTCTGCCTAACTACCTGAAAAGAGCTTCAAAAACAAACTAACCGCAGAACACAGCTGAGAGAGGATCGGATTCAATCCAGTACACAAACAACTCCCACACCAACCTCCAGACTGGAAAGAATCTTCGGGGGTCTCCAGCTCAAATCCCTGCTCAGAGGAAGAGAACCTCATGCCCCGATCACTCAGCTCAGAGCTGAATGTCGCTGAACTTTGACTGCCTCCAGCGGTGGCAGTTCCACAGATTCTTTAGTTCCATCACTGCATCCTTCAGAAACATTCCCGGACTTCACAGAGAGGGTGTAAACTGCTCACCCACATGTATAGACATTTAACCACTCATACATGAATTCCATGAGTATGAAGAAATTTCTACACGGATAAAACATTTCTTAATCACAACATCACTACCCAGCCTGAGATGGTTCTTCTCTCAGGGCTGTCTGTGCAGGGACAGCACAGAGAGCAGCCCCTCAGTCAGGCACACCTGGTGGCAAAGGCAAAGGGCAGAGCAGATGAGCTGCAGAAGAAATGTAGGGAAGGATCAGGATAAAGCAGGTCACTCCAGGCCTGTAATACTCATTTCCTGGTCCCTACTCTTGGCAGTACCATAAATCTCACCTCTATCTCATCAAGTCTCAGTGAAACAAGACCTTCACTGATAGCAGAGGGCAGAGTTAAATCTCACTTTCAAAGCAAAGAGCTCTAATCAATCAGATTTCAGTACTGTGTTGTCTTGCTGTCAAGAGTCCCAAGGACAGAGACCAAACACCACAAACCTCCTGCACCTGCAAGATTTGTCTGCTGCCTCCTGGGTCAGATTTCAGAGCTCTTTATCTAGCCAGCAAGGCAGCAGAATTCCCTTATGGAAACTCTCACATGTCTCCCCCAGGCCAGGTTTACCTTGTTTCTTCACTTGCTCCAGCAGCAGATCCTTCATGGCTGCTTCCTCAGCAATGTCTGATGGGACCTCCCCCTCGCTGTTCACTGCAGCCACATTGGCTCCGTGACTGATCAGGTATCTGGAAGACCCAAGCAACATATTAGCCTTGTGGGAAGGCTTCAGAGCAACTTACACATTACAGCAAGTAGCACAATAAAATATTGGCCTTTCTTCAAGTTCAGTGACCAGATCAGCACCTTATTCCTAGTTAGTTTCTAGAATCACAGAATCATCAAAGTTGGAGGAGGCCTCAAAGATCATCAAGTCTAACCATTAACCTGTCACTGCTGTAAACCCTAAACCCCAAACCATATCTTCCAGTGCCAGATCCAGACACCTCTTAAACACCTCCAGGGATGGTGACTCCACAATCTCCATGGGCAATTCCAGTGCCTGAGCACCCTAACAGGGAAAAATGTTTTCCTGCCATCTCCTCTGCCTCTGCCCTGTCTCAGCTCAAGGCCATTCCCTCTAGTCCTCTCCCTGCAGCCATGGCAGGAGAGACATCCCCCACCTCTCTCCAGCCCCTGTCAGGGAGTTGGAGAGAGCCATGAGGTCACCCCTGAGCCTCTTCTCAAGGCTGAACAGATCCAACTCCCTCAGCCCTTCCCCATGTGCTCTAGGTCTCTTATGAGCCTTTCTGAGCCTGGATGTGTCACCTGAGGACATGGTTTTAGTGGTGACCATGTCAGTTGGTGCTGGGTTGACAGTGGGACTTGATGATCTTAAAGGTCTTTTCCAACCTTATTGATTCTATGATTTGAGCAACTCTCAAACTCTCAAAGCAACTTGTTGGTGGACAACAAGTGGTGTGGTGTCAATGTCTTCCCTGAGACAGACAGACTGTCAGTCCTTTGTGAGCATAACTAACACCCAGAGCAGGTGCAGAATGTGAATCAAACCTTGGACTTGGACATTGTGCCAAGAAGAGTCAAATCTTTGCTGGGAATCACAGCAGGTGCCTGCTGTGCTTTCAGCAATGTCTGATGGGACCTCCCCCTCGCTGTTCACTGCAGCCACATTGGCTCCGTGACTGATCAGGTATCTGGAAGACCCAAGCAACATATTAGCCTTGTGGGAAGGCTTCAGAGCAACTTACACATTACAGCAAGTAGCACAATAAAATATTGGCCTTTCTTCAAGTTCAGTGACCAGATCAGCACCTTATTCCTAGTTAGTTTCTAGAATCACAGAATCATCAAAGTTGGAGGAGGCCTCAAAGATCATCAAGTCTAACCATTAACCTGTCACTGCTGTAAACCCTAAACCCCAAACCATATCTTCCAGTGCCAGATCCAGACACCTCTTAAACACCTCCAGGGATGGTGACTCCACAATCTCCATGGGCAATTCCAGTGCCTGAGCACCCTAACAGGGAAAAATGTTTTCCTGCCATCTCCTCTGCCTCTGCCCTGTCTCAGCTCAAGGCCATTCCCTCTAGTCCTCTCCCTGCAGCCATGGCAGGAGAGACATCCCCCACCTCTCTCCAGCCCCTGTCAGGGAGTTGGAGAGAGCCATGAGGTCACCCCTGAGCCTCTTCTCAAGGCTGAACAGATCCAACTCCCTCAGCCCTTCCCCATGTGCTCTAGGTCTCTTATGAGCCTTTCTGAGCCTGGATGTGTCACCTGAGGACATGGTTTTAGTGGTGACCATGTCAGTTGGTGCTGGGTTGACAGTGGGACTTGATGATCTTAAAGGTCTTTTCCAACCTTATTGATTCTATGATTTGAGCAACTCTCAAACTCTCAAAGCAACTTGTTGGTGGACAACAAGTGGTGTGGTGTCAATGTCTTCCCTGAGACAGACAGACTGTCAGTCCTTTGTGAGCATAACTAACACCCAGAGCAGGTGCAGAATGTGAATCAAACCTTGGACTTGGACATTGTGCCAAGAAGAGTCAAATCTTTGCTGGGAATCACAGCAGGTGCCTGCTGTGCTTTACACATCTACTGGACAAAACTGTTAGATTTACTGTCTCTTCTCTCTTAGGTATTTTCTGTTTGTACTCCCAGGATTATCCAATCTCTTTATGTCACTCCACAGAATTTCACCTGGTTCTGCCCCACCTAAGCCCAATATCTTGTGTTGTAAACAAACCAAACAAAACCAAGGAAATAAAGCTCCAGTTGTGAGTTAAGTAACAAGTGGTTACTTTTGTCTACTTCTCCATCTTTGCCAGTGTGGAAGAGACAGAAACAGAAGGTCTGAACTTGAAGAAAAAGCAATGATGCTGCTGGCAAACTGCAGAGCCCAGGACACTGCCTTTCTCTCTCCATGGTCTCCACACAAGTGCAGCACTACCCACAGCAGCCTGTCAGTAGTAAGGGAACATTGGCATCGAATCACAGAACAGTTTGGGCTGGAAGGACTTTAAAGCCCACCCAGTCCTCCCTGGTGCCATGGACAGGGACACCTTCCCCTAGCCCAGGCTGCTCCAAGACCTGCCCAACCTGCCCTTGAACCCTTCTGGGGTTGGGGCAGCCACAGCTGCTCTGGGCAAACTGTGCAAGTGCCTCAGCACCCTCACAGGGAAACATTCCTTCACTGCACCTCCCTACAGCAATGTCCCTGCCTGTCTGCTGTCCTGCTTCCCTTTTCCTTGGCGTTTTCACTAAGGTATTTACTGAATCCTAGGTCACGGAATCACAGAGTCAATTAGATTGGAAAAGACCACTGAGATCATCAAGTCCAACCTAGGACCTAACACCACCATGGCAACTAGACCATGGCACTAAGTGCCACATCCAGTCTCTCCTTAAACACCTCCAGGGATAGTGACTCCACCACCTCCCTGGGCAGCAAATTCCAATGCCTTTCCCTGAAGGAATTCTTCCTAATGTCTAACCTAAACCTTCCCTGGCACAGCTTGAGACTATGTCCTCTTGTTCTGTCACTTGTTCCTTGAGAGCTGAGCCTGACCCCACCTGGCTGCACCTCCTGTCAGGGAGTTGTAGAGAGTGAGAAGGTCACCCTTGAACCTTCTCTTCTCCAAACCAAACAACCCCAACTCCCTCAGCCTCTCCTCACAGGACTTGTGCTCCAGACCCTTTCCCAGCTCTGCTCTCTCCTCTGGACATGTCCAGAACCTCAATGCCCTTGCAGTGAGGGGCCCAGAACTGGACACAGCACTCAAGGTGCCTCCCCAGTGCCCAGCACAGAGGGAACTGTAATGGCACCAGCAAGAGGCAACCAGTGCAGGCTCCACCTTAACCCTCAAACCTTCACAACTCAGTAACAAGAGAAAAACATCTGTTTCCAGCATTGCTTCACAAGCCATTGCACACGTCTGGGAGTGTCCATGACTTGTGCACCTGCTCCAAGAAGAAAGGCATGGGAAGTGTTAGAAACACCCAGAACAGCCCCAAACTCACTCACTCTGCTATGTTCAGGTAGCCACACGACGCCACTGCATGCAGAGGGGTCCAGCCCTCGTTGTCCTGCTGGTTCACATTGGCTCCATTGTCTACCAGGAACTTCACCATGTCCAGGTTCTCATCGATACAGGCCTGAGGGATGTCCAGGGAGGGGAGAATGAAGAGAAGAGAGAAAAAAAACAAAGGTGTTGGTGTTAAGCCAAGTATACCAAATGTACAACCTCATTGTTGTTGGTAGCAGGTCGTTCCTGGGCTGAATTTCCCACCCTGTGAGCACCTCAAAGCTTAGGGTAGCATCAATTTGTGAACTAAAATAAATTCATTTCAGAACTTTCAAAAATTAATTGTAACTCAGAGTGCCCATGTGGATAACCTCTACTTTTGCACAAGCTTTACCTCTCACCACTGACCTGTTTCCTTCCTCTCTCCCACAGTTCCCTCCCCCAGTGAAGACACTGAAATGAAAGATCTGAATTAGTTTCAGGTACGGCATAAAAAAACTCTCTAAGCAAGGTAAAGCTGTGCATTTATTTAGATTATGTTGTTCATCAGAATATCAATGAAATAAAGTTGCAACAGTGAACAAAATGAGCTCTCACTGAGCAGGGAAAGCAGGAGCTGAAGGAGCCTGACCAAAGCTGCCACCTGTGTGTGGGATGTCACCTGTACAGATGTAACCAGTACAAGAGCAGAGTTTTGGAGCACTTAACTTCTTTATTCAGCAGCATCTCTTTTGTTTCCCTGAGTGTAACACAGCCCAACTTCCCCTGTCTGCTCTAGGGCCCCAGTGAGCTGCTGAGAACAACAGCCTTTGCTGTCATGCAGCCATGTACAGAGCTCCCTGCTTTGAAGTTGCCAGGAGAAAACCCGGCCTGATTTTCAAGTCTCAGCAGTTGTGTTGGGTGGAATTCCTCCTTCCTCAAATTCCTGGCTCCAGCACGTTCTGTGCTGCATTCACAGTGCTGCATGGCCAGCAGTGGAAGCTGCTATTTAGGGATCAGCAATCCAACCCATACATCCACACGTGTCTGCCTCCCCTGGGAAGCACCAGGAGGTGACAGGAGTGGCTGTTACTGGGTGTCCATCTACAGGCAGAAATTTGCTTCCCCATTACTAGAGGGATGAGTGATGTGGATGCAAACCAAGTTCTACCATCAGCCTCAGGAGCAAGGCTTTGACCTCCTTTACTTAGATCAAGCCCCTGCTCAAAACAGGGCTAAGTCTGTGTTCCACCAGGTTGCTCAGGGCCTGCTCCAGCCAGGGTTTACTGCCTACTGGGATGGAGACCCCATGGCCAGTCTGGTCTCTGTCCCAGTGCTTCACCATCTTCTCACTGGGGAATTCGTCCCACAATCTAATCAGGATTTTCCTTGCTGCAACTTGTTCCTCCTTACATCACAGATGCAGCCTCCAGGCATCAGCAGGTGATGAGGGCAGGAGACACAATATTCCCACTGTCCAGGGGAATGCATGTGTGCCCAATATGTGTGCAATTAATTGTAAGAGATCCTCTAGAAAGGATAAACTCCTGATTTCCATAATCCTGCAAACTACACAGAGAAATCTGTCAGTGTCTTATGCCTGTAACAACACACAGATGCAGCAGGAAGGTAAAGGATGGAGAGGTGCACATGGATACACAGAGGAACATAATAACCCCGTTTCAGTTCAAGGAACAATTCCTTGGGAATTCAAGCCTGAGTTTGCAAAACTCTGAGCTAATCTGTATTTTAGTGCCACCCATATTTATTGTGATATACTTCAAGTCTTCCCCCAACACACCTCAACCAAATTACACTTCCCACCTTCCTGAGCAGCTATTTATATTTTGCCCTGGGAACACAAGCAGCGCCGATCACTTCCCAAATGAAACTGACTTCATCTGAAGCATATTGCTCTGAAAATAGCCAAGGAGAGTTCGCCCACACACTGCTTTGCTTTGAGCACAATCACTCCTGGCTGCCCACGGAGGAATGTTATCAGTAGGGCCCTGCCAAGGCAGCCAGGGGATGGTTCCTGCCTGTGCACACTGCTCTGTTGTGCTGGTGTGTCACCTGCAGCCTGAGTGTGATCTAAATTTAGTCTGAAGAATATCTCTATAGCATGAGCTTTGTACATATTTGATAGAGAATTGTATTTTCAGTGTTTATCAAATACACTCACTACATCTGAGTAGTCTGGGAATAGCCAAGGGTTCCTGCTCAAGCCACAGGATAAAGTGTCTTGTTCCTGGTTCCAAGCCCAGTTCTTGCTCAAAGCACTGGAGAAACTGGACTCTAAAATTCCCTATCTGTTTAAATACAGACAAGAGCTTCCCTCACCTTTTCAATCTCAGCCTGTTGCTGGCCCTGTTGTTCTGCTGGTCCCTGTCCCATGTGGTTCCCATGGAATGTGTGCTAGAATCAGCAGGGATAATGGGATCAGCCCCCACCTGTTGCTATCCCCAAATCTCCAGTAATTTGACTCTCTTGGCTCCTGCAGAGAGACAGTGATGATAAAGTGACAAGGCTCCATGGGTGCTGACAGCAGTAGGCACTCACCCATGGCCCTGGGGAGCCAGGACCATCCCATGCTTGCTGTCTCTACTTACCACCGAGAGAAAGCTAAGTGCAAAGGTGTAGTAAGTCCTTAAAAAAGTAGCAATGTACTCATTAATATCTCAGAGAAATAACCCTCACTCCACCCTCTGCAGTACATGACAAGCTGCTGCTCAAGGTATGGGGTCAAGGAAGAGCTGCTGCTCAGGGTATGGGGTCAAGGAAGAGCTGCTGCCCAGGGTATGGGGTCAAGGAAGAGCTGCTGCCCAAGGTATGGGATCAAGGAAGAGCTGCTGCCCAGGGTATGGGGTCAAGGAAGAGCTGCTGCCCAAGGTATGGGATCAAGGAAGAGCTGCTGCCCAGGGTATGGGGTCAAGGAAGAGCTGCTGCCCAAGGTATGGGATCAAGGAAGAGCTGCTGCCCAGGGTATGGGGTCAAGGAAGAGCTGCTGCCCAAGGTATGGGATCAAGGAAGAGCTGCTGCCCAGGGTATGGGGTCAAGGAAGAGCTGCTGCCCAAGGTATGGGATCAAGGAAGAGCTGCTGCCCAGGGTATGGGGTCAAGGAAGAGCTGCTGCCCAAGGTATGGGATCAAGGAAGAGCTGCTGCCCAGGGTATGGGGTCAAGGAAGAGCTGCTGCCCAAGGTATGGGATCAAGGAAGAGCTGCTGCCCAGGGTATGGGGTCAAGGAAGAGCTGCTGCCCAAGGTATGGGATCAAGGAAGAGCTGCTGCCCAGGGTATGGGGTCAAGGAAGAGCTGCTGCCCAAGGTATGGGATCAAGGAAGAGCTGCTGCCCAGGGTATGGGGTCAAGGAAGAGCTGCTGCCCAAGGTATGGGATCAAGGAAGAGCTGCTGCCCAGGGTATGGGGTCAAGGAAGAGCTGCTGCCCAAGGTATGGGATCAAGGAAGAGCTGCTGCCCAGGGTATGGGGTCAAGGAAGAGCTGCTGCCCAAGGTATGGGATCAAGGAAGAGCTGCTGCCCAGGGTATGGGGTCAAGGAAGAGCTGCTGCCCAAGGTATGGGATCAAGGAAGAGCTGCTGCCCAGGGTATGGGGTCAAGGAAGAGCTGCTGCCCAGGGTATAGGATCAAGCCATGGGACACTACTTGGCAAATACTGATTGTAGTAAGAGCTAGTGACACATAGGAATAGACCTGAGCACAGAGAGCAGTAGCATGGACAGTTTTGAAGTGACTGGTACAACTCCTTGCCTGCCCCAAATAACAAAATGCAAGAATCTGTTGCATTCTTGTACCATAACTACTAATTACACCAATTTTGATTAGAAGAGGTGGAAAAGGAGTTTGCAAACATGGAACTAGACAAACAGGTACTGAGTAACCCCTGCTCAGCTCTGAAAACTTCATCATGGTCTCATGTCAGAAACTTTCAGGCAAACAATTATTTGCATCATTTTTTAGTCAGAGTCCCTAGAAGAGCTTGGATCTTACATGCTATGACATATTTAGCACATCTCAGAGCAATAACTGCTCAGATAATG